CAGTACAAGTGTATCTGCGTGCATATAACTGTGCAAAGAAGAAGTCCCTACATCCACTTGAACTTGTGAGGCTGCAGGAATGTAGATTCCTTATACCATTTATACTCTCGTAAGTCTCGACCTAAAAAAAAAACTATTTTCTCTCCTAATTTGTTTCTTAAAAAGATTTGTCACCAAGAGAGGCCTAAAAGATCAATGGTTATAGGCTCAAAGTGGACATGAAGGGCCAAGGGCTTGGGAGGTTGCATGGTAAGAAGAAAGACCTCGGGATGGCCCAAGAGGAGTCTAAACATGGCACAATTGGGCATGAAGGTCTATGGTCGACATAATCCGTGCATGTGAGCAACTTAGCTCACATGGGGGAAAGACATGTGAGGAAAAGGGTACTTATAAATACGAGATCTTCCCATGTGTCTGAGAGGACACTCGTTCCTCTTCTTTTTCGCATATGATTTTTGTGATTAATTTCCTTTTTCGAATAAGGCTCAACTTTAAGAAGAAGTCTACTCCAAATTGAAGATAAAATTTAAGGAGAAGATAAAGGACACATGATGAAATTCGGCCATGAGAAGGGAGAGTTATCTATTTACATATTTTAATTATTATTTTATTATTCAATGATTATTTTAAGTGTATTTAATTATTATCTTAAGTTAAAGATTAAGATAAGTTAGAATTTAAATATAGTTTGGATTAAATTCAAGTCTTTGTTTTTGTTTAGAATTAGTTTGGTGAGTGTTAATATTGTGACATCCCAAAAGTTAATTAAGGCATGTAAGTGTTAGATATAGAAATAGAATAACGAGTGCATGATAAAAATTATATGCAGCAGAACAAATTAATATAAATCTTTTACAAATATATGAGTTCCAATTACATACATATAACTGAGATCAGAAGTGGCTGGAAAATATAAAGTCAAAATACAAAAAAGGGTCACTTCTTTCACTAAGCTATTGGACTCATTAGAGTGCGAGAATGATCATACACTTAAGTTTTGTGGATCCATGGGATCCTCATAAACTTCAATGGGTAGGTCACTTGGCAGTTCAAATTTTCTTTCTCATCTGGGAGGGGGAGTGTGGAAAGAGTGAGTTTCATATGCTCAGTAAGGAAAACGATATTTAAATAACATTGTAAGGTTTTAAAGGTGAATTATTCTAACATACATACTTATTATTTAATTACTTTATAGACCTATTTTACCTTATGAAAATAATTTATTTATTAAAAAAAACATCATATTAGTATAATTAAAATAAACACATATTATACCAAAAATAGAGAAAATCAAATAAATCATGAAATGCTCAGATTTTGTGTCATGCTTCGCGAAGTCATTATGACTTCCATCTCTGAAGGTAGATACAGATTTTTGACTGCCCATGTGGAATGATGAGATCAGATACAAATATGCCAATTTGCTCAGACACATTTCTGGCTTGCCAAACCATGATACAATCTGTGACCACAATCATACCAACCATAGTAGTCCTACCAGATATTCCATAGTCACGATAGTACTTAGCCAAAGGTGATTCCTAACAGATATTTGAGTCACTACTCTCACCAGAGGGTACGTCGTTATCCACAGGGAGCGGTCCTCTTATGTCTTTCCAAACTAGATAGGGGAACAGATACCCTTAAGAGATAAAAAGTCTAATGAGACACATGATACATTATGCATGTCAATACAGATACATACTCGGACCATTCATACTTCATTCTGTATTTCTCTTTCTTTTTGTTTTATTTCTTTTATTTTTCCAGATAACCTTACTGGTTTCATATTATTCTAATCACATGCGAATTATCAAGTGTTTATAATTCATATAACATGCTTGAAATAAAAAATAATTCAACTTATTAAACCTATAAACATAAAAGCATGCAAGAACAGGTAAATCACAATTATCAATTTAATCTCTTTTCTTTTTGTCTAAAAATACCCCTTAAGATGTTTAAAGAAATACTAAATTTCTTACCGAAACTTTGATAATTTCTTCTATACCGTTATGTTTTTCTTCCTTTCCTTCTCTCTCTAGATCACTTTCTCTTTTTCTTTAATTCTTGAAAGGTGGAAGAATGGAAGTGTGGGAAAATGGAAAGAGAGGACCTCTATTTATAGAAATTGAGAGCTACTAGATTTACGCCAAGTGTCAAAATCCGATGAAGAGAGAGGGAAAAAGATGCTTCACATGAAAAAGGGAGGAGGAAAATCTCCTTTACTGGCAGTGGCGGCATGTTATCTAAGGTGGGCGATGACACACTGCTTTAGATGGCAGTGGCCTGGCCGACATGCTGCAGGCTAGCCTACAGGTGCACGACCTAACCTGTCGCGTACACAGGTCCTAGGCGCACTGGGCGTCGCACGTGCAGGCCCCAAACACACAAGGGCCTTTCCGCGTAAGCTTGCTGCATGGACGGTGCGCGCACACTGTGTGGCACCTGTCCGCATGCACATAGCGTGTGGCGCCTGTCCGTGCTCAAGGTGATGCATGGACGGTCCGCCTGAGTGCGATAAGACGCACGCAGGGTTGACTTCATGCAGCACGTGGGCCACTCCCTTTCCCACAGGATTTTCTCCCGTTTTTTTATTTTTTCAAAATTCATTTTTAATTAAACTAAAATAAAATAAAATAAAATAAAATCAACTAAAGTGAAATAAAATAAAATAGAATCAACTAAAATTAAATAAAATTAAATAAAAATCAAAATAAATAAAAATCTGCATAATTCATGAATTACGATAATAATTTGCAGAGGAAATTAAATGAGTTCAATGCAGTCTAAAAGCCCGAATAAATACAATTTTTTAAATTAATTAAGCACAGCAATGGGCAGGGTGTTAAAATATAAAGGCCTCACTTTAGGCTCCAAAGAAAATATTCGAGTTCATTCACATTAATAAAATCTTAGTTTATTCTTTACATTTAGTTTTTGCTGAATTGTGAGAGTGTGAGTTCTTTAAGTGAAGTTGTTTCAATTTTCTTGTTGAAACGAGGAATTCGAATCGACTTATCAAGTAAGTTATGATGTCTTTTCTATTCCTATTTTATTTTCTAGTTACTTTAGTTTGTATTCACAAGTTGAATGTGGTTTAAGTAAGAAGGGTTTAATTAGGGATTTAAGTTTCTGTATGCTAATGCATATGTAGGTTCATGATTAAGGTATTTTGATCGTAGAAGCCCTCGTGTCAAGTTTTTATTCTTACTACATTCTCCAAACATGTATACATGCCCAATTAATTATACAAAATA